CTGCAGTACGAACGGCCGCCGCCGCCCGCCTTGCACTTTTATACCCATCCGCCTCTCAAACCAACCTGACCCAGCCCTTGGGCCCGCCCCTAACACTTTATCACTGGTCTGCGCTCACGGTTGTCTTTTTCCATTGGACCTTTATCGGTTCACTATGTTAGGATGCGCCTCGGAACGCTGGGTTCCCAGATGGCCGATTTCTATTGGCCTCATTGCTGACCAATGAGAGTCGACCACGCGTTGTGGGGGACGCCCACTGGTGGGGTGGGGGCCACGAGCCCCTGAGGCCAGGTCATGTGACTAGGCCTAAACCCAACCCCGCCCTCGCCCGCGTGCGTCTTTCCTCATCTCGGCGTTTAAAGCACCGGCGCGAGCGCAGCTGTCTCCACGCGGGACCGGAACCCCGTCCCAGCTTCTCTCCCTCTCATTCCCTCTACCTGGAGGGGCTGGGCAAGGCTTTTCTAGCCATTCTTATCTTGCATTTGAGAACCAGCACCCTACCGCCGCTCCCCCATCCCCACCCGGGATGGGACAGAGCTCAGGGGTTGGGACCCTGGGGCTTCGCTGCACCCCAGTGCTACAGCCACGCGGGCCAATGGGAAAAATGCCAGCTCTCCCCTCCTCCTGTCCCTAGTGACCTGGCAGCCTATCGGACTGCTGCTGTGTGACCTGGGGCAAGTCACTTAACCTCTCTGAAGTGACAGACGCCCCTGAGCAGCCAGAGGGGACGACCCTGGCCAGACGCTACCCAGCCGAAAGGCTTTTAACGTTTTTAAAGCTGTCCTGGGACAAGGGGGAAGGAAGGCTTAAGGGTGTGACTCCTGGGGTGGGGACAGGGTTATTACCCAGGTTGCAGCAGCCCCTTTACTCTCTTCTCAACCGGTAAATGAAGGGGGTCGCTGTCTTGTGGTCTCCCACAAACGGCTTGGCTTTTGCAATTAAACGGCTGTAGGCTAGAGGGCCGGGGGTTCCGTTTGGAGAGGGAAAAAAGACACAGATGGTAGGGACGATAAGGTGCTAGGGAGATGGGCAGGACCTCCCCCTCACCTCGACCTCGACCGAGTCTAGAGTCTTCTGAAGGTAGAGACACGTGACTGGCAACAGCACCGTGCCCCCACGCTGCAGAAAGGAGGAAGGAGAGCTGGGGGTTTTCCAAAGTTTGGCAAATAAAGCCCTGGACCTGGGAACCCGGGAGTGGACTGTGGAAGGAGGGAATGAAGGGGATCCAGGAAAGAGGGTGGGGAGGGGGTGCTTCCTAGCTAAAGGTAGTGACTCAGAAAAGGGAGGAAGGAAAAAAATTTTAAAAAAAGGAAAACAAAGTGGGGGGGGGGGAGAATAACCTGGCAAGTGTTTTTGGTTAAAAAAAGGAAAAGAAATGGTGGCCAGGCACAGTGGCTGAAAGCCTGTAAAGCCAGCACTTGGGGAGGCCAAGGAGGGCAGATCACCTGAGGTCCGGAGTTTGAGACCAGCCTGATCAACATGGCAAAACCTCATCTCTACTAAAAATACAAAAATTAGCCGGGCGTGGTGGCGCATGCCTGTAATCCCAGCTACTCAGGAGGCTGAGGCAGGAGAATCACTTGAACTCAGGAAGTGGAGGTTGCAGTGAGCCGAGATTACACCATTGCACTCCAGCCTGGACAACAAAAGCAAAACTCCGTCTCAAAAAAAAGAAAGAAAAAGAAATGGTGGCCGGGCGTGGTGGGTGCCTGTACTCCCAGTACTCAGGAGGCTGAGGCAGGAGAATCGCTTGAACCTGGTGGCAGAGGTTGCAGTGAGCCAAGATTGCACCACTCCACTCCAGCCCACCAGTCCAAGTGATAGAGTGAGACTTCGTTTCAAAAAAAGAAAAAAAAAAAAAGCGGCAGGGAGAATGAATTGGGGAAGTTGGGATTCTACCCCTTCCTCTAGGTAGAATTCACTATTGCCTAGTCTGGCCCCCCTCATGAGAATGCCAGGGACCATCCCAGGCCTCCTGTTGAGCCTTCCTTCTGTTCTTGCATCAGGCACCTGTGGGCTTTGCGCTTCCTACCTGAGGTTAGACACTACCTGATTTGTTCCCTTTGCATCTTCCAGTGTCACCTGCAGCACCTGGCACAGAACAGGCTTAAAAACTACTTGCTGCATAACAGAAAAGAGGAAGGAAGGACTCCTGTGGAAATTAACTAAAACCAGGCCGAGCACAGTGGCTCACACCTGTAATCCCAACACTTTGGTAGGCCAATATGGGAGGATTGCTTGAGGCCAGGAGTTCAAGACCAGCCTGGGTAATACAGCAGGATGCCGTCTTTACAAAAAAAAAATTTTTAAAGACCCAGGCGTGGTGGCGCCAGCCTGTGGTCACAGCTACTTAGAGGCTGAGGCAGGAGGATCAGGATCACTTGAGCCCAGGAGGTTGAGGCTGCAGTGAGATGTGTTCCTAGCACTACACACTCTAGCCTGGGTGTCAGAGCAAGACTGTCTCAAAACTAAAAAAAAATAGGCCGGGCGCGGTGGCTCAAGCCTGTAATCCCAGCACTTTGGGAGGCCGAGGCGGGTGGATCACGAGGTCAAGAGATCGAGACCATCCTGGTCAACACGGTGAAACCCCGTCTCTACTAAAAATACAAAAAATTAGCTGGGCATGGTGGCGCGTGCCTGTAATCCCAGCTACTCAGGAGGCTGAGGCAGGAGAATTGCCTGAACCCAGGAGGCGGAGGTTGCGGTGAGCCGAGATTGCGCCATTGCACTCCAGCCTGGGTAACAAGAGGGAAACTCTGTCCCAAAAAAAAATTAAATTAAATTAAAAAAAATAAGCTGAGCTGTAATCCTAGCACCTTGGATGCTAGGTTCACACCTGTAATCCTAGCAGAGGTAGGCAGATTGTTCAAGCCCAGCAGTTCAAGACCAGCCTGGGCAACGTGGTGAAACCTTGTTCTTACCAAATACATACATACATATATACATATACATATACATATACACATATGTTGGGCAAGGCCAGGCGCAGCGGCTCATGCCTGTAATCCCAGTACTTTGGGAGGCCAAGGTGGGTAGATCATGAGGTCAGGAGTTCATCACCAGCCTGGCCAACATGGTGAAACCCCGTCACTCCTAAAGATACAAAAAATTACCCAGGCACAAGCTACTTCACCCAGCCAGCAGATCTAGGATTCTAATCTACCTGTGCTGACATAGTCACCACTGCCTACATGTGACTCCTGACCATTTAAAATGTGGTTGGTCTGAACTGAGAGGTGCTGTAAGTGTAAAATGCACATCAGATTTTGAAGATTTAGTATGAAAAAAATAAAAATATTTTATTAGTAAACCTTTTTTTTTTTTTTTTTTTTTTTGTTAAGAGTCAGGGTCTGGCTGGCTGCGTGAGGTGGGTCACACCTGTAAAGCCAGCACTTTGGGAGATGGAGGCAGGAGAATAACTTGAGCCTAGGAGTTTGAGACCAGCCTGGGCAACATGGTGAAAACCCATCTTTACAAACAACAACAACAAACAAACACACACAAAGATTAGCTGGGTGTGGTGGCTTACACCAGTAATTCCATCTACTCGGGAGCCCAAGGTTGGAGGATCGCTAGAGCCTGGGAAGTCAAGGCTACAGTAAGCAGTAATTGCACCACTGCACTCTAGCATGGGTGACAGAGCAAGACCCTGTTTCAAAAAAGAAACATGTTTTGCACTATGTGTATATGTATACATATATATATATATATATATTTTTTTTTTTTTTTTTTTTTCTTTTGAGACAGAGTCTCACTCTGTCGCCAGGCTGTAGTGCAATGGCAAAATCTTGGCTCACTCCAACCTCCTCCTCTGCCTCCTGGGTTCAAGTGACTCTCCTGCCTCAGCCTCCGGAGTAGCTGGGACTACAGGCATGCGCCACCACGCCCGGCTAATTTTTGTATTTTTAGTAGAGACGGGGTTTCACCAATTTGGCCAGGCTGGTTTCAAACACCTGACCTCATGATCCACCTACCTCAGCCTCCCAAAGTGCTGGGATCACAGGCATGAGCCACCGCGCCTGGCCTTTTTTTTTTGAGATGCAGTTTTGCTGTGTCCCCTAGGCTGGAGTGCCGTGGCTTGCTCTCGGCTCACTGCAATCTCCACCTCCCAAGTTCAAGCGAATTCTTTTGCCTCAGCCTCCTGGGTAGCTAAGATTATAGGCGCATGCCACCATGCCCAGCTAATTTTTGTATTTTTGGTAGAGATGGGGGTTTCATGATGTTGGTCAGGCTGGTCTCAAACTTCTGACCACGTGATCTGCCCACCTCGGCCTCCCAAAGTGCTGGCATTACAGGCATGAGCCAACGTACCCAGTTGGAAGGTTTATACTTTATAACTTCATTTCCACCAACTCTTTGCAGAACCTTGGGCAAGTCATACCACCCTCTGGGCCTCAGTTTTCTCACCTGTGTAATGGGGTTATATCAGTATCTACACCATAAAGTTTTGGAGAGAAAATGAAATAATGCCCAGATTTGAAATTAGTACTTAGCCCATAACTAACTACTACCACACGGGAGCTAGTCCATACAGGTTAGCTGCCACCTTGACTTACTAGGTGAATCCCTTTCCCCTCTATCAAAATGGATGATGGTCCCTACCCAGCCTACTTTTGAAATTTTAAAACTAGCTGACATCGCCAAAATGACCATCTCTGGAGCCCACCACCCACCGTCTCTCCGAGGGCAAAAGAGAATACCAGAAGGGCAGAAGGTTCTGTACCCAGAGAGGGTGAAGTCCAAGGTCACACAGCCCGCTCGAAGTGAGGCTAAATAAAACCCAAACAGGGCGGTGCTTCTGACCTTGAGATAATAAATTTTACCTCTCTGGTCAAGCAGACACCACTGATAGAGCAAGGGCCAAGGTGGGAACCAAGTCCCGAGCACCTTTTGAGTGCTCAGGCGCCACTCTCAAGATGACGACACATTAAGTCCTGTTCTGCGGTTAGACACATTCAAGATGGCGGTGCACGCTCCGGGTTCCGGTTCCGGTGGCTCAGGCCCCGGCCGGGACACGCTGAATACACTGGAAGCAGCCATGGCGGATGGTCCAGTGGCGGAACTGCTGCTCCGGCGGCTGGAGGCGTCCGATGGTGGCCTGGACAGTGCGGAGCTAGCGGCCGAGCTGGGCGTGGAGCATCAGGCGGTGGTGGGCGCCGTGAAGAGCCTTCAGGCGCTGGGCGAGGTGAGCTGGGTTGCCTTGCCCTTGCACCTACAGCCCCCTTGCCACGAGGGCCCTACGTCCAGGCCAAACTCCCTCAGGCCTAGTTGGGGATAGCTGCCTACGTGTCCACCCCGGGACGAGTGAGGGCCCAGATGCACGCATGCAATAAACGTTTATTAGCCTCAGCGTGGGTAGGAGGTACGATGATGGACAGAGAAGACGCAATTGCTGCCCTCACGCAGGCTGCGACCTAATAGGAAGGTGCTTCAGTAACCAGAGTGATGGAGGGGAACACAGGGGAACCAGCGGTGACAGCTGACTCAGCCTTGGGGGTCAGGGAAAGCGGACTGGTGCGGGTGACAGCTGAGTCGTGTCTCTACACTGGCAGAAAGTGATAGCGATTTAGAGATCAGTGGCTGGGAGTTTGGGAGGCGGCGAGGGAGACCAGAACAGCTGTAATTGCAAGGCCTCTTAGGTCTTTACCTCATGGGGGAACTGAGGAGCCATAGCAGGAGCCAAAGCTGGTCAGATGAGTGTGCTAACTGCATCACCTTTGGGGAGAATTGGCAGGGACAGGACTAGAGGTGAAGGGATGAAAGCAGAGGCTGGTACTTGCCCAAGCTGGAGGGCATGATGTCTGGCTCTGGGAAGGCAGCTTGGGGGAGGTGGGGAAGGCCTGGGATTCAGGACAAGGCAAGGGGAGCACAGATGAAGTCCCACCTTCTGACTTGGGCAAGTGGACAGTGACAGAGTCACAGGAGGAGGATGCTGGGGGGCCCGTGGGCCACCCAGGAGACTGGATCCACGAAGCCAGGATCTGGGCCATTTATCCACAAAGCCCATGTTCTGTGCCCCACTGTAGTCTCAGCTTGTTTGTCCAATCCCTTCCATAATCCTAGGCTGTTGACCATGTTATTCCCATTTTGCAGATGTGACAGCTGATGGTCAGTAACATAATCAGTGTGAATAGAAGGGGCTGATGAGCCCAGATTTGAAATTAGGCACTCAGGCTGCAGAGCCCATAGTCCTCAATGCAGAGGAGAGATAGCAGCTATGTTGTGTGGGGTGACAGTGCCTTTATCAATATGATTTGACATTTGTATATGTCACAGAGGGTTAAATAATGTAAGAGATGAGCTTCAATCTAATGACAGTAATAGCCATAATAATAATTATAGTAGTTAGAATTTATGCCAAATTTATCACATGGTAGGCACTATATATACTTTCTGAGTATTAATTTACCTACTCCTTGAAATCATCTGAGGTAGAACCCATCACACCTTTCTTTTATGGATGAGAAGAGTCACTCAGAAGTTAAGCAACTTTCCTGAGGTCACAAAGTAAGTGAAGGGCAGAGCTGGGATTAAAACGAAGTGAGAGCTAGGCCCTATACACCCTACTTATCCTTGTTGTCCTTGTCCGCATGGCTCTGGACCTGGAACCTCAGTTTTTGTTTGTAATGTGGACCTCCGGAGCCCTTCTCTGACATTCTGGGGACTGACATGTGAACATTTTTTGTCTTGTTTTTTGAGATGGAGTCTCACACTGTTGCCTGGGCTGGAATGCAATGGCATGATCTCGGCTCCCTGCAACCTCTGCCTCCCCAGTTCAAGCAATTCTCCTGACTCAGCCTCTCCAGTAGCTGGGATTACAGGTGCCCACCACCATGCCTGGCTAATTTTTTGTATTTTTTAGTAGAGATGGGGTTTCACCATGTTGGTCAGGCTGGTCTCAAACTCCTGACTTGTGATCTGCCCGCCTTGGCTTCCCAAAGTGCTGGAATAGGCATGAGCCACTGCACCCAGTGACATGTGAACATTTAAACATGGAGACAGGCTGGGGATGGTGGCTCATGCCCGTAATGCCAGCACTTTGGGAGGCTGAGGCAGGAAAATCACTTGAGGCCAGGAGTTTGAGACCAGCCTGGACAATATAACAACACCCCATCTTTTTTTCTTTTTTTGGAGATGGAGTTTCTCTCTGTTACCCAGGCTGGAGTGCAATGGCGCGATCTCTGCTCACTGCAACCTGTGTCTCCCAGGTTCAAGCCATCCTCCTGCCTCAGCCTCCCGAGTAGTTGGGATTACAGGCGCATGCCACCATGCCTGGCTAATTTTGTATTTTCAGTAGAGAGTGGGCTTCACCATGTTGGCCAGGCTGGTCTCAAGCTCCTGACCTCAGGTGATCCACCTGCCTTGGCCTCCCAAAGTGCTGGGATTATAGGTGTGAGCCACTGCCACCAGCCCACTCTGTCTTTAAAAAGTAATTTAAAAATTAGCCAGGTGTGGTGGCAAGTGCTTGTAGTCCCAGCTACTGGGGAGACTGAGGCAGAAGGACTGCTTGAGCCCAGAAAGTCGAGTCTGCAGTGAGCTGTGATCACACCACTGCACTCCAGACTAGCGACATGGTGAGGCCCCCTCTCAAAGAAAACCAAAACAAAAAAAGGTGGAGACAAATCACTTCACCTAATTTTTCACATTAAAATCAGTCATGGGTTGAAAACTGACAGTAAGAATTTGTCCTCTGCCAGGTAAAATCCTTAGTGGTCTACTTTATCCTGGGAGTTGTATAGCTGGGATGGGAAGCCAGCTTCAAGGGCTGTGCTTTGAACTTGGGACCCAGTGTTGCAGAGAGGGGGTGCTGGGATCTGAGCCTCACCCTTGCCCGGACCCCCTCATTTCCCTGCAGGTCATCGAGGCTGAACTTCGCTCCACCAAGCGCTGGGAGCTTACTTCGGAAGGCGAGGAGATTGCCCGGGAGGGCAGCCATGAGGCCCGTGTGTTTCGAAGCATCCCCCCCGAGGGCCTGGCCCAGAGCGAGCTTATGGTAGGATCTGCGGGGTGAATGGGGAGTGGGTGATGGGGTGAAGGCGGCCCTTGTGCCCCACTCACTGCAGCCTCTCTTTTCCAGCGACTGCCCAGTGGCAAAGTGGGGATCAGCAAGGCCATGTCCAACAAGTGGATCCGGGTGGACAAGAGCACGGCCGACGGGCCCCGGGTGTTCCGAGTGGTGAGTTCCTACCAGCTGGCCAGTGGGCATATGGAGAGGCACACGGGCCCCTGGCTCACACCCCTCATCCCGGCAGGTGGACAGCATGGAGGATGAGGTACAGCGGCGGCTCCAGATGGTCCAGCGGGGACAGGCTGAGAAGCTGGGGGAAAAGGAGAGGAGCGAGCTGAGGAAGAGGAAGCTGCTGGCTGAAGTGTGAGTGGGTGCCCCTCCACCACCTGTGTGGCATGGTGGAGGCATGGTAGGAGGGAGACACCCGGCCCACTCCAGACACAGGTGTGGCCAGTTTCCTCCCAGCCCACTTAATGCCATAGTTGTGGAGCCCACGAACCTCGGGGTCTTTCCCCATGAGGACCCTTCTGCTGGGAATTGTTTTCTCGCTGATCTTCAAGGCAGGCTCCTCATCAAGTCTCACTCCTGTGTCACCTTAAAGAGGCCACCCTGACACCCCTACTCTCCCCTTTAGTTCCATGGAGCCCATCACTCCTAGTCTTCATTCTTTGGTGCTTGTTCATTTCTTTCATCGTCCTTAGCATGATCTGAAGTTTAATGAACGCACACCAGACAGGCTTCTGGAACCTGGACTGGCTGGGGGCTGTCCTCTCATAGGACAGATGTCCCCTTTGAGCAGACACAAAGTGGCAGAGAGAACAGACGAAAGCTGGGATGCCTAATTGAAGTCCAGGCTCTGCCACTTAACTAGTTGTGTGACCTGGCATTTGCTGGTCTCAGTTTCCTTATCTATAAAACAGCCTGGGCCAAGTGTGGTGGCTCACATGTATAATCCCAGTTACTCAGGAGGCTGAAGTGTTAGGATCACTTGAATCCAGGAATTCAAGGCCAGCCTGGGCAACATAGACCCCATTTCAAAAAAAGAAAAAGGGGCCAGGCACAATGGCCCATGCCTGTAATCCCAGCACTTTGGGAGGCTGAGGCCGGTGAATCACCTGCAATCAGGAGTTTGAGATCAGCCTGGCCAACATGATGAAACCCCATCTCTACTAAAATTACAAAAATTAGCTAGGCGTGGTGGTGAGTGCCTGTAATTCCAGCTACTGGGGAGGCTGAGGCAGGAGAATTGCTTGAACCTGGGAGGTGGAGGTTGCAGTGAGCTGAGACTGCACCATTGCACTCCAGCCTGGGTGACAAGGCAAAATTCTGTCTTAAAAAAAAAAAAAGAAAGAAAGAAAGAAAAGATAAAGGAAGGCCTGGAAAAAAATAAAAAGAAAGAAAGAAAGAAAGAAAAAGGGCTGGGTGTGGTGGCTCACGGCTGTAATCCTAGCACTTTGGGAGGCCGAGGTGGGTGGATCACCTGAGGTCAGGAGTTCAAGACCAGCCTGGCCATCATGGTGAAACCCCATCTTTAAAAAAAAATAATAAAATAAAATAAATAAATAAATAAAGGGCCGGGCGCGGTGGCTCAAGCCTGTAATCCCAGCACTTTGGGAGGCCGAGGCGGGTGGATCATGAGGTCAAGAGATCGAGACCATCCTGGTCAACATGGTGAAACCCCGTCTCTACTAAAAATACAAAAAATGAGCTGGGCATGGTGATGCGTGCCTGTAATCCCAGCTACTCAGGAGGCTGAGGCAGGAGAATTGCCTGAACCCAGGAGGCGGAGGTTGTGGTGAGCCGAGATCGCGTCATTGCACTCCAGCCTGGGTAACATGAGTGAAACTCCGTCTCAAGAAAATAAATAAATAAATAAATAAATAAAGGAAGGCCTGGCACAGTGGCTCACACCTGTAATCCCAGCACTTTGGGAGGCTGAGTCTGGCAGATAACCTGAGGTCAGGAGTTCAAGATTAGCCTGACCAACCTGGAGAGACCCGTCTCTACTAAAATAGAAAATTAACCGGGGGTGTGGTGGCGCATACCTGTAATTCCAGCTACTCAGGAGGCTGAGGCAGGACAGTCGTGCCTTGGACTTGATCCCGGGAGGCGGAGGTTGCAGTGAGCTGAGATTGTGCCATTGCACTCCAGCCTGGGTAACAAGAGTGAAACTCCTCAAAAAAATATAAAAACAAAAAACTGTGCTCTTTCAGGAGCTTGTGGGGAGACTTTAGCAGAACAGAGCGTGGCACAGAATAAATCTGATGGACTTTCCCTACTACCATCACTCAGTCGTGTACTTACCACCTGGCATACATTAGGTTCTCAGTGTTGAATGAATAAGTGAGTGAATACAAGGAGATAGAACATGGCCACATAGGAGGATTTCAGGTAGTGATAAACGTCAGGATGGAAATAAAGCAGAGTGACTTGGTAGGTGGCATGGGGATCCTCATCAGATGGGAGATCAAGGAAAACCTCTAGGAGGAGGTGGCAGTGGCATCCCCTTGCTTTCCCCGGCCACAGGACCCTGAAGACCTACTGGGTGAGCAAAGGCAGTGCCTTTAGTACCAGCATCTCCAAGCAGGAGACCGAGCTGAGCCCAGAGATGATCTCCAGGTAGGGGGCAACCCCAGGTAAGGGAAGGTGGGAGTTGGGGCAGGGGGCGGGGCCGGGCAGCCCTTACCAGGCCCTTGGATTTTCCCCCAGTGGCTCCTGGCGGGACCGGCCCTTCAAGCCCTACAACTTCTTGGCCCAAGGCGTCCTCCCTGACAGCGGCCACCTTCACCCCCTGCTCAAGGTCCGCTCCCAGTTCCGACAGATCTTCCTGGAGATGGGGTGAGCACGGGGCCAGGGGCGGGGCCTGCTGCCGCCGCTGGGCACAAACAGGGCAGTCAGGCCGAGTCTCCCACCAGGTTCACCGAGATGCCGACCGATAACTTCATTGAGAGCTCCTTCTGGAACTTTGATGCACTCTTCCAGCCCCAGCAGCACCCAGCCCGTGACCAGCACGACACCTTCTTCCTTCGAGGTGGGTCAGCCCCTAGGGCCTCCCTGAGACATGAAAGATGCCAGGCCAGGGCAGAGCCTTTACAGGATGGGCATTCCATTTTATCAAATTAGGTCTAGAACTGGGCATGGTGATGTGCACCTATAGTCCGGGCTACTTGGGAGGCCAAGGCAAGAGGATTGTTTGAGCCCAGGAGTTCAAATCCAGCTCAGGCAACATAGGGAAGAGTCTACCTCTAAAAAAATATATATATAAGTTATAGTCCATTCTTGTGCCCAAGAAGGCCCAAGGGAGCTGATATGTCAAGCTCTGTTCTCATTCCCCGACCTCCAGTCGTTTTTGAGACAGGGTCTAACTCTGTCATCTAAGCTGGAGTGCAGTGGCATGATCTTGGCTCACTGCAACCTCCACTTCCCGGGTTCAAGCAGATTCTCCTGCCTCACCCTCCCGAGTAGCTGGGTTTACAGGCACCTGCCACCATGCCTGGCTAATTTTTTTCTTGCATTTTTAGTAGAGACAGGGTTTCTCCATATTGGTCAGACTGGTCTTGAACTCCTGACTGTGATCCGCCCACCTCGGCCTCCCAAACTGCCAGGATTACAGGCATGAGCCCCCACATCATGCCTGATCCCCCAGTCGTCTTTGGGCATGCCAGGCTGTGCCCACCTCAGGGCCCTTGCTTATGTTCTGTCTTTCGCTGAGACCTGTTTTCTCCTAGATCTTCAACGGAGGCTGCAGCATCAAACCTCTACTCAAGGGTCACCAGAGACAGGCCAGCCTG